CAGTGGGGACACGTTACCAGGGTCGTTGGGTTGGGTTGTTACAGTGGGGACACGTTACCAGGGTCTTTGGGTTGGGTTGTTACAGTGGGGGCACGTTACCAGGGTCGTTGGGTTGGGTTGTTACAGTGGGGACACGTTACCAGGGTCGTTGGGTTGTTACAGTGGGGACACGTTACCATGGTCGTTGGGTTGTTACAGTGGGGACACGTTACCAAGGTTGTCGGGTTGTTACAGTGGGGACACGGCACCAAGGTCGTTGGGTTGTTACTGTGGGGACACGGTACCAGGGTCATTGGGTTGTGACAGTGGGGACACGTTACCAAGGTCGTTGGGTTGTGACAGTGGGGACACGTTACCATGGTCGTTGGGGCGGGTTGTACAGCTTGTTGCTTGAGGTTCCTGGCAGCTGTCGGAACACGCCGCGCGCCGTGCCGATGTAACGCCAGGGGATGCGAGTATGCAGCTTTTCGAGCCCGGACTCCCTCCACAGCACCTCCGCTTGCTTGGTCGCCACGACGTCATCCCGAACGCCTGCCTGCAACGTCGACGACAGATGTATAGACACAACTCACGAGAGATCGTCGGTAGAAATATAATCGGGGGGAGGGGTAGATGTGCCTCCTGTACAATCATCATCACTGTGCTATCAATAGATTAGTTTCTTAATTAACACCTAATCCTTAAATCTTAATAATCATAATTTATATTTCTGTTAGTTAAGCGAAACTGGTAGTATAAGTCGTTATAGGAAAATAATAGCATTAAAGGTTTTGATGTTTTTTCACACACTGTTGACAGCAGAAACATGTAAGGTTGGTTTTCGTGCATCACTCGTACACGTCGGTAAATGTCCGTAAATGACAGTAAATTGATGCATGGATTGATTGATGTATCCCAATTAATAACAAACAGTTATTAATTTTGGCAACCTGCAACAACACTCATCCCACAAATATTAGTGATGTGTGTCACAGTTAGTATTAGTCAAGCGTAAACCACATGCTGACGGCTCTTATAAGCACATACATATATTCGCACGCAGACAGCAAGCTTAGTAAATACCTGACCCACACATACAGCAAACACTATAAATATTTTTCAAGCGTTAAGCTAACATTTACACCCACAGACGCTGGTACCCACTACCCGATTCTATATATAC